AGAAAGGCAAATCCTCGAAGGAATTGCAAAGAAAGCTAAAGCTAAAAAGATACTCTACTCAATACTAATACCAATACCGTAATCAATTTAAAAGACAAATAACTTGAGCTGTTTTTTTAACAGAATTTTAATTGATGTTCCAACAAAGCAACAGTATCGGTATGGTTAAAGATTGACAAAAAATGTATTGAAAATAATATTCTACAGGACAATCGAATACGGGAGTCGAAGGAAATCATCCGATTATGCAGCTAATTCATTTTCGTCCACCATTTCCCTGGAGATATTGAGCCAACTCATTGTGACCTGAAAAATGAAATAAATCAATAAAAAAGATCGAACCAAACTAAGATTAAAAATTAAATTTAGTCAAAATAAACATTCAATATATTACCTTTTTTAGTAGCATAATGAAGAGGTGTCAGGTTCATATCATCTTCATGATTAATGTAGGCCCCATTGTCGATGAGCACTTTAGTGACATCTTTGTGACCTGAAAAATAATACAGATCGATGAAAAATATCAAACCATGGTTGCAATTTCTTATACACGGTGAAAACAAATATTCAGCATTACCATTGGAAGCGGCAAAATGAAGAGGTGTCAAACCAAAATGATTTCCAATATCAACATGGGCTCCATTGTCGATGAGTTTTTTTGCTTCCTTCGCATTACCTGAAATATAATTTTGATCAATAGAACAGATTGAACAAAACATTTTTTTTTAAATGCTCGAAATTACCAGATTCAGCAGCTCTATGCAGAGCTGTCTTTCCACTTTTGTCTCTTTTGTTCACTGAAAATTGGAAAAAAGTAGATCAGTGAAGTGAATCGAAAGAAAATGTCTTTTATTCATGAGATGAACTTTTCAACACACTGCTAGCTATTTTTACTCCATACATCAAAAGGTGCTTTGTATATGGAATTCAAGAGTGAAACATGATAAAGAAATTGAGTTCCGATCTTACCGTCTGGTTTGTTCTGCTCCAGAGCTTTTGCTATTTCTTCCACGGAAGGTGCTCCAATCACATCCACGACTAAGAACTACAGAAATAAAATAAAGTGATACATTTGGAATGAGAACGACGGATTGGTATTGTAATACGTGTATTGGAATAAAAGTTTCAAATGGAAGATTTGTTTTCATTGAAAAACTTCAAAATAGGCATTAAAATTACAAAAAATCGACTAAAATGTTTAAATTTAAAGATCGAATTTTCGACTACAATTCTTAGAATGACACAAAAAATTCGACTGAAATTGTCAACTCACCTCGGATACCACCAAGCCAATGAGCAGCAGCGTGAAAGATCTTCGACTCAGCATTTTTTTCAGCTTCAAACAATCAACAATTTTCTGTAAAGGTATCAATCGTTAGGAATTAACGAATTGTTTGATGGACATACGGATGGAACGTATCTTTTTATATACTTTTCAAGTGGTCACATCGCTTGTACCGACATTACAATAATGGTATGGAGATTATAAATGCACACATTCTTTATGAAAATAAGTCAAACAATTGACTTTATTGGTGGGATTGTGCATAATTTTGCGTTTCACATCAAATAGATCGCATTGAAAATACCAGATGTTTGCGTTCATTCCTTCATCACGTTCATGATGGTCTGAAAAAAACGCAGTTGAATCACATTGAATTGCAAATTTAAGTAAATATTGTTCACTCTCGAAGTCTTGAGTGGTGTTTATTTGACTTGGCTATTTGAATATGGAAATACAGCGATTCAAATTTTACGATATGTCCAAGGGGCAATCCACTCAAAAGTAATACATAATACCTGCGAAGTAATATGAAGTAATACTAGGTGTCGTGGACTTTTGCATTAGTTTTAAGTTTTTTCTTTGTTAATTTTAATTTCGTGTTTGTTTCATTGATTTTTCCAATTTGCTCATTTAGTTTGCTCATGCATTGTTCAGTCAAGTCACCAAACGCTGAACGCACTCACATTTGCTCTCGTTTCAAATGCGTTCTGCGACTTGACTGACATTTCGTTGTGTGTTTGTGTGAGTAACATTCATGCTAAGACGCTAACACCAAGGTAAGTGTATTGCGATGTGGCGACAGTTCGAAGAGAAGGAA